CACTGGGGCTTTAGTGCTAAGGAAAAAAAAAACTTGCTATAACATCAGATTTTTTGGTTGTCAGGATTGTTAATAACATTTTGCTAGAGATGAGTGTCGACCCAACATTTCGGCAACTTGTCCGGCTCAGTAGTAAGGCGGGTCGGTATGTACAGGCGTTTGTCACAGATAAGACTGTTGGCATTTAGAGCAGAAGAAACCATTTTACGAGAACCATGCATATGTACCTGCAGTATGTCCTAGTGAAAATGTGATCTGTCACACGTTAAGAATTGGCTAGTGCTGTAACGGCAACATCTTATCACATATTATGAAATAATTCCGGCCCGAGTAAAGTGCAGTGAGCAACAGCGGTTACGACAAGGCCTCTCGAATCTCATCATTGGCCTCAGATGAAAGGTTTATACTTACTTACTTATGGAGCTGAGCCCTTCTTGAGAAGCCAAATCTACAGCTACTCAATAACTTCCCATCATTTTATGGAATCCGAAGGTTCATTACCGTGTTCGAAAGAGCCCTCCACTGGTCCCTATCCTGAGCCAGATCTGTCCAATCCATACCATCCCATCATATCTCTCTTAGATCCATTTTAATATTGTCCACCCACCTACGCCTTGGTCTTCCCAGTGGTCTCTTTCCTTCTGGCTTTCCCATCAATATCTTATATGCATTCCTTTTCTCCTCCATTCGTGCTGCATGCCCTGCCCACCTCATCCTCCTTGACTTGATCATTCTAATTCTATTGGAGAAGAGTACAAGTTATGAACCTCTTCATTATGCAGTTTTCTCCAACCTCCTGTCACTTCATCTCTCTTCGGTCCAAATATTCTCCACAACACTCTGTTCTCATACACCCTCAGTCTATGTTCCTCCCTTAATGTCAGAGACCAAGTTTCACACCCACACAGAACCACAGGAAAAATTATAGTTTTGTACATTCTAATTTTTATGTTTTTGGACAGCAGACGAGAAGACAAAAGGTTCTGGACTGAATGGTAGCAAGCATTACCCGAGTTCAATCTCCTCTTAATTTCCTCCTCAGTCAAGTGTATACTAAAATGAGGAAATAAAGACATGCCATTTAGTCGTATAATTAATTATAGGGAGAGAACCTCTTCTATATAAACCAAGTCTCTCAAAACGTAATTATCTTCATCAATTTCTCATGCAATTCAACTTTTATGAGACTTTATATTTTAAATATAGTTGATATTGTGACTTGTATAACCATTGCTAGGCAACAATTCAGCAAACACATTCCCGCGTGAGCCAACACTCAAAACAATAGGAAGTCCATTGCTAGGCAACGGATGAATAAACACGCCTTAACAACAGAGGCTCTGTTTTCTGCGTGGTCAGTGCAAAGTGTTTATAAAGAAGTGTTCGGCCTGCGCGTTGTGGGAAGCAACGAAAAGTGAATTCTCGAATTTGAGACAGTAAAATATGGCCGCGAGTCCCACGGGACTCGGCCCGAGAATGACTGCGCTGGCGTGAATCAGCAGCAGTTGTAAACGACAGGTCCGTCCTCTCGTAAGAGAGAGCGCCCACACCAACAAACCCGCAGCTGTCTGTCAGTAATAAAAATCTGGTCGTAAGCCCCATATGGGTGCTTCATTCCAAGATAGACTGGTCAGCTGACCGTCGGTCGTAACATAAGATTTAGACTCTTAGAGCAATATAGAACAGAGTCGAGTTTCGAGAAGTCACCTTGCCGGGATATGAACTAGGGAGCAGAGGATTTGAATTGAGCCGAGTCTTCGGAATTGGCAGTTGCAGAATGGCAAGAAAGGAATTAAGCGGCGCAAAGAAGGCTTCTGTGATTTGAAGTGCCGGTGAGACCGTTAGATATCCGTTGCCAGGATACGACTACTGAAGACTGAAAACCCTAATGCATGTGTAACGGTGAACTGTAAAGTGTGTAGATCAACGATAGCGCCGTATTACCTGTAGTGCCGAGACGAGTGCATAAGGTGTCAATAAATTCAATCATTCAANGTCTGATTTCCTAACCAACTCAGTATGGGATGGTACACAAGAACAATATTAGTTTCGAAGAAAGCAGTCTTCTGGGATTTGGCACCGTGTATATGTGGTGTTAACCGACGTTTCGGAGGAACATCGGTTAACACCACATATACACGGTGCCAAATCCCAGAAGACTGCTTTCTTCGAAACTAATATTGTTCTTGTGTACCATCCCATACTGAGTTGGTTAGGAAATCAGACAACAATGAGGAAAACGCTATTACGAATAACGACCAACATGAAGGAGAGTGATAGTGTAACTTCTGGGTCACTATTACTTCCCCTGAGGCGGATATAAGACTTCCGTATGAACGATATTATCTTCACATACATATGTTTAGCAATATTGAGGTTTATCATTATCACTGTGCAATTTCAGGTTGCAATCTCAAACGTCTCTTGAGCATTTTATGAACATTACGTAGTTGGTCAAGAAGGAGCTAATATTCTCCTCGATCAGTGTATCCTGAATTTTGTGTAAGTACTGGCAATATCTTGACGCGGACATGTGACGTGTATTATCACGCATAAAGGAGACGGTTTACAGTTTAATATTTGTGCGTGATATTGGCGGGAGATTGCGTTAAACGTCGGCCTCGACGCACCATTCTCTAGTGTATATGACTGGAAAGGAATATAGGAGAAAGCAGGGGAAATTACTAGCACTACGTCTTCTGTAGTAAATAATGAAATTTCCAGCCGAATTCTCAAAGGATCTTACACTAGACTTAAAAAAAAACGCAATTACGTTGGGGCTCAACAGTCAGAGAATACAGACTGAAAAACTGAATTCGTAAAAGTGGTGTCGTTGGAAATAAAATTTCGTAAGCGAACATGCATTACTTTCAACGCTGGATGGAGGTATAGTTAAATAGTCAGAACGGGTGTAATCGTACACAGCATCGCAGCTAATTATAGAAAGATGTTGGACATTTTCCATTGTCTGAGGCATATCTGATATAAGCTACACGGATCTTGGGCACCTGGCTCTAGTCCCGCAGTCAGGTGAGTTGTTGCTATTATACTGACATATTTTATTACATTTATTTTACGTTTGCTGGCGATGCTTGGGAAAGAACTAGAAACCCCTTCGACAGGGCTAGTATGCTTATAATTACGCCATTGAATTTTATGCTCAGGGAATTCGAAATATGGATTTTCTGCCACAATTACTCGTTTATGTTAAGTGGTTGTTTCATTTTTGAGGTCATGACATTGTTAGGGCCGTCATATCAAAAGAGAAACTGTCTGACATTAGAATCAGTGCGTTCATAATTCTCTTTAAAATGAAAGAAATTGTAGTGGTTTGGAGGCTACTGCCGTACATATGGTTATGTGACCCTCTGCATTACAGCCTGATAGCTGTCACAATATAGCTAACAAAGGAAGGGTACCGGGGAATATGGAAAGGACAAAATATACTTCTTTATGAGATTAGTTTAAATAAACTGAGATAAAAACTTCTTATTTTATATCTGTAATATAATTACATAGAATATTTTATACTGATGTGTAAGCATCGTTACCTGAAACAGAGGGTGAAATTAATTTACGTAGGAAGAAGCGGAAGTTTGTAATTTGGTACAGGATATCTGAGGAAAATGTCCCTAAAATTTAATTTCTATTAAGCTTTATGCTACAAATAAGTTATAAAGAATAAAAAACTTTGTTTCAGCTAATAATAATATATTCAGAAAGTAAGGGATATAGCATTTTGAAACATTTACGTCAACAGAGTCTAAAATATGATTGCTTTGAACTTCTCGTTTGTTACAGTTTGTCATACTAACGCGAAGTCTGACAGAACGTTCTTGAGGAACAAAGTGGGTTTTCACGAGTCTGTAGCATAAGTTCTAAACGCTTGTCACAAGGTGCTCAAAGATTAAGTTCTGAACTGTGTATAGTAGGAATGTTCTTGAAGTATAGCGTAATTTAAAACAATCTTCTGCTGTTTTTCTTCCGACTGTATGTAGAGAGCCAACGTAATAACACCGTAACGACAGAGATCAGGTATAAAATATCGTTTTTCATCATTCTTGAAATGCAGCCATGCTTAAGAAAATTAATTTCAATTAAATTAGCTTACTGAAGTGCTTCGCAACGTCCACAATGAAATTACAAGCAAGCATTATAAAAATAATTAATATAGATTATGTGAACAGAGAGCATGAGTGGTGATTATGATGATGCTGATGATGATAATAATATTAATAATGATAAATATAATAATCATTTAAGTCCTATGTGCGACGAAAGAAGGTTTAGTTGACACGTACGATAGGCACAGTTTTTAAGCTCTGATATAAGAGTGGCAGATCACAGCATACCGTATCCAAAATGCGCTTACAACGAAGTCATTAATGTCAAGCTCAAGCAAATTCTGCAAACGATATAAGAATCCGAATAAACATGCACAAGAAAACCTTTGTTGATTAAAATTAGATTTGAGGAAGAAGTGCTGCGCCTTAACATAGAGATAGTATATTCAGAAACGTGCTCCAATGTTGGCTTCTCCGCCCACAGACATTGAATAGTTAAATGGTTGGTGCCAATTTTACAGACAAAGAACCGTTGTTCTGTTCCGAGATATAATCGGGCCGTTTCTCTAAACAACAGTAAAGGTAAAGGTCTCCCTGTGCTTAAATAATTAAGCACTACGCCATAAAGATGGGAGATTAGATGCGTATAGCCAAGTTTTATTGACCTCGGCATTAGGTGGAGGTGAGTGGTCAGCTTCACTTCCCGGCAGCTTTACCCCCGGGTAAAGAGTCCCCGGTACCGATGTGATAGGACACGGGGTGGGCCCCAAAGCCGGTCTGGACGATGTGGAGAAAATTCTTGACCCTACCGGGGCTCGATCTTCGTTCAGCCCATAGTCAGCGGTATCCCAGCTTTATATCTCTAAACGACAGTAGCGGTGTTAATTAAAGCCTCTTCCTTGTTACTGAAATTGTGTTAATGTATTTGGGTTTCAGAAGTGTTAAGAATTGTACCTCGGTACGATTCCATTCCTGGAAGAACTCCATCCCCATTGTACAGGAGTATCCCTCTTGTTTGGTAAGTCACTAAGTAGTTTTCAGAACACAAATGGGTGAAACCTGTGTGCGTGCGTGTGTTTCTCCGCTGAATCCAGAAACCAGACTGACACAGCTTGGTGCTCGCATCTGACTCAACCTCACCAGCTATAAAACCGTCTCATATCTCTTGTGGGGTTAGAGGAGAGGAAGTTTTAACATGACATACTCCTAGCTATTTACCCTATCCGAAACGGTTCTCTTTATAATGTTTTCAAAACTCTGTGTGCTCTCTCCTACTTCTCTTCAATGCATCACACAAAATATATATAGAGAAGGCACCGGCGTATAGTACATACCCTCCTCCCCTCTCTAAGAACGCTGTACTTTCCGCTCCGCGCTAAAAATCCTTCCGTCTCCTCTCTTTCGCCTTCTTCGCTGTAGCACCGTCTGCTGCCAGAAAATTGTGAGACATATTTCAGTTGCCGCCACGGGTCGACTATTCCAATAGCTACCCAGGATCGTCATTAACTTCCTGGAAATTTAACCTCATCCACAAAGCTCTGGCATCGTTATGTAAAAGACTTCCGAACAAACAGTCTTACGAAGTAAACTGGCGGTCGTGATTTTCGGAAAGAAAACATCCTGCATGAGACAAATGTAGCAAACGCACTACATTCAGATAACTCTAGGACCTTCTTTCATACAACATCCAGGCGACAACATAAAATTCCCCCTTCTCCCTCCCTCCCTCCCTCCCTCTATCTGTCTATGGCTATATAGGACTTGCTGACCATGTCCTTTTCTTCAGTTTCTTTAACTATACACAGTCGGTAGGACTCCTTTGACGGGGGCTCAGCCCGTAGCAAGGCCGTTACCTAGACATAGAATAACACAAACACAGCATAAACGCATACAGACATCCATGCCTCGAGTTGGGTTCGAACCCACAATCCCAGTCTTCGAGCGGGCGAAGACGGTTCATGCCTTAGACTGCGCGGTCTCTGTAACTACTGCTCCTGAGTCACGGACACAGGACTCCTCACATTAATCTGTCTACTAGAGGAAAGTAAGCGCGCTGCTTCAATCTTCAGACGCTCTAACAACGAGGGTCCACTTTCCCGTCGGATGCAAGACTGAGTGAGCTCCAGAACCTGTCTTGAAGTGTTAACATGCCCCTGCTGGGGATCAGCCAACCGAGAGCCAGTCACTATCCTGACTTGTGAACTACTGAGCACACTCAGGTAAAACAGCAATACTTTACTCCGGTAAACAGACTGACCAGTATTCTAACTAGTAAAGCTTTCTTTTGCAAATACGACGCCAGAAGCTCGAGCTGTTGACAAAAGAAAATTGTTATATATTTCAGATACGAGTATATGGATATAGCATTACAAAACCTTACAAGGGTTGACACAAATGTTACTTGCCTCTCAAACATTTACATGGCCTACAAAGAAATGATATCTAGTTGAATTTTACCAAATTTTGCAAAGCAATGAAAATGAAGTTAGGAATATGTTTTCGCAGTTTGTACGCATTGAACAAAGGGTGTTCTTATTGACACTGAGAATGCCTTTAAGCACACTATTATTATACAATTTTAAAGTAATCTGTGTTCTTCCTTCTAATTGTGAAATTATGTTTTACACCTTACAAAACTACCACCAAATTGTTATGTAGATTCCGAGGTTCAGTATCTTGAATTATATAGTGGCCCATTCAACCTTTAAGATTATGCTTGTAACACTGAATGACAGAATTATTAAGGTGTAATGACTTGAAGCCTTCCGACGAGCTGATCACCCGCCCAAGGAGTCCTACCGAATGTGTAAGATCTAGAAAAACCGAAATGAACGGAGAAGTTCATGGAGGTAGGCCTAGGCCCACTGGGGCTGTACTGCCAAGGAAAAAAAATGACTTGAAGAGGTGAGGAAGGAAGCAACCTTGACCTGATTCAGACACTATATCGGCCTGAAAGTACTGAAAAAACAAACTCGAAGAATCTCCTGACAGAAGGTTTCTGGGCAGAGATTCGAAATTGATACCTATCGATCATGAAGCTGTTTGTTAACCGCTGAGCCGCGAAGTTCGGTGGTAACAGTTTTTTTTTCAACGGGTTTCCTGATTTTATTATATCTCTAACTTGATTAGGGATCCCACTTCTATCCGGCAATGCAGCTCCCAGACACGTGAAATATGAAACATCCTAAATTATTTGATTATGATACGCATTTTCATTGTGACTTTTTTACTGATTTCGATTGAACATTGTGTTTACATACTGAGTCTTGTACATGTGGCCCTTCAGACCCGTTCATTTTTACTGGTATGAAGAAATATTTTGGAACTACAATTTACGGTATGCTTTTTTCTTTATTGCTAGTGGGATGGGACTAAGTCCCTTGTACTGCGGCCACTTCTGGCCTATTGTACCAGCCCCAGATGATAGGTGAGGGTGATTGTGGAGCAATTGGTGGAATGAAGAGTGGCAAGGGAAACCGAAGTACTCGAAGAAAACCAGCCCCAGAGCCACTTTGTTCACCACAAATCCAACTTTACCAGGCCCGGGATCGAACCCGAGCCGCCGCGGTGGGAAGCCAGCGACTAACCGCTTGAGCTATAGCGCGGCCTACGGTATGCTTACTCCTGTAAGTATCGCACATGCTGCCACCACTACCACAGTTACTATTGCTCTCTTTTCTATAATTATTCTGTCCTGTACAGGTTTGAAATAGGTCTGTTACAAAAAGGGAGGCACAGATATTGAAGTGTTTCAGATGAACAAGCTCTAGTGAATATTTGGGCTTCAGAAGGAGGTACTAAAAATAGGTTGTAGAAAGTGATTTAATGGGGCGTTTGGTAAATTGTACTCCTCCAAAAATTATATCGGGATGGACAAATCAAAGAGGATGTGGTGGGTAGGGTATGTAGCACTCATGGGAGAGAAGAAAATACACACAAAGTTTTGTTAGGAAGATCTGAAAGAAGACCAGCTAGGAGACCTTGAAGTAGATGGGAGGACAATACTACAAGAAATTTTCTTTCAGTACATATTGAATATTTGATACGACACATGTCGTCTATAAAACTCCGTACCCAATAGTTATTTTATTGTTGCATATGTATTCGTTGCAGCGGGAACGTGTTTACCGAGCCGCTGGTTATCAGCAGCCGTCTCTTCTGGCTCCACTATTCTGGCTTGTTAGGATGAATACACAGACAGTAAGGTGATCTCGTAAGCCTACATTATTTTTTCAAAAGAAGTAAATAAATTTAAAAATGTATATGGGGATTCATTCATTCATTCATCAGTAATCTGTCAGACGACAGGTCCACAGTCTCTTCCAAAACAGTTCCTCCACTTAATGCGATCTTCTGTTTTTGGAAAGAGACTATCCAGGAAAAGTGATAATGTGGTAGTTTTTCCATTTGCTTTCCACATCGCAGTACAACAGCCGTTCAAACCACTCTGGTCACGCCTGTTGCTATACGAACTTGAACCATCTCGAGCATCATTTGCTCTGTGCTTCAAGTCGCTGCTGATAACGCTGCTTCCGGCATCAGTTTTTGGTGTCTCTCTTCGTCTGATGCCTACCCTTTGACCTGTCCAGCAAGGGAGGCCCTGCCAGTAGCTACGCTACCGCTGGTATAGCTCTCAGGGTCCTTGGCATACTCAAACCCCCTCACCACGATAAGGTGGAGACACCAACGAGGTGTATATGGGGATATATGTATATAATGTATATGATGGGATTGGCTTCATCTGACTCAGAACAGAGATCGGTGGTAGACTCTTGTGAACACTGCAATGAAACTTCGGGTTCCATAATATGTTTTAAGTATTTTTATAGTTGATTTTATAGTTTCCTTTTTTGCTCCAACTTCTGCGGTTACGAGTTCTTTGTATCAATATTCTTACTGGTCTGTGTATAGAGCCTGCTTTACTGAACTTAGTTAACATAATATTTATTGCCGTTTCTGTTGAACAGTCTCAAACAGGTCTGTTTTAAGTAAGTTTTTACTGGATGCTTTAAAGGATAACCACATTGAATGCTGTCAAGGCGTATATAGCCGTCAACGCGGATAAGCCTCTAACCTCATTTCACTCACTCACACACTCACTCCATAATACTCTGGGAGCTTCTTGATTAACTGAAAACTATCAGCTTCTTAAGAAACACTCTTCTCCAGCCAATTATAAATCTTTGCAGATAATTGAAACTGAAGCAGTTACTGCATTAAACTGAAACTGAAACTGCATTAAATGTTGACATAATAAGAAACTGGCTTACATTTTCTTCCGTTTGTAAACCAAGCTAAATGTGAAATGAGTTCCTGTGAAGGGTAAAATTCGCCAAAAATTAGGTCTTTCTTACGGACAGATTTCGCAGTGGCTTCAACGGAGGGAGATACGCTGTCATGTTGAATCAAATATAAACAGAAAGTTCAAATTGTCTGACGAAATATTTGGACCGTATAAAAATATTTCTCATAGACAGGGAATGTGTTGGCGTTAAAACTTGTTATATTACATCTGGTGTGGAGAGGAAGTGGTTCCATATTTCGTCCATGGTTGAGAAAATCATTTATATATCTTGCTTCTTAAATAACAGTGTCCGTCCCAGTTTCTCGAAGGTTGATTAATTTTGCTAAACAGTTATTTGAAGTTCGGTGCTTTGAAATTCGAGGGTTAATGCATTTGGCACAACAGCAGCCCCTACAGCCCATGGAAATCGTTATTTTCACAGTATGCAGTATGCAAACTCTTTGTGGCTGCCGATCCTTGGCAGCACCAAACAGGCCGTCACACATTCTTTACTATTCAAATGAGAGATTTGCAGTTGCTCGGGCCCCAGCAGCATAGAAATCGTTACTTGTTTTCATTGCAAAATATAACCGCAAAAACATTTCTGTATCGAGGTTAATGTTGTCGATCTACATGCTCGCAACTGCATGAGGTCTGAAGCTTTCATGGCAGTAAGAATTTAGACTGTGGGTTTTAGATTATGAGATCATATGGTCTCGTAGACGGTTTTATTGTATT